GCCCATTTGTATTTCTACATATATTAATTTATAGTCAAGATTTATACCAATAAAACATGGATATTATATTAGGTATAGTAATATACTTACCCTATATATGTTCAACCATACATCCTCATTAGCAATTGGCTTCTTAGTTATTAAGTCTACCATGACATCGATGTGGGAACAAATTTTATGGTATTGTTCCATACATTGGTATAAATGATTGTATTTGTTCTTGAATTATAAATGGGCATAGCTCTTATTATGGACCTTCTTGAAATTGTCCCTAATGTGAGCCCAACCCTCATTGTTAAAGCTTAATATAGGCCTATTATTGGCCTTCACCATCTTCATCATTAATTTGATAAATGTTTCCTCCTCTAAGTCTGTCCATGTGGCTGATAAATCCACCGCCACTTTATTATCATCATAAATTTTGTTACATAATTCCATCTTGTTTGATACACCAATAGCAAGAGACCCTATCAATTTTATGTTTACAAGTGAGTTCACAAAAAATAAGATCTGAAGTTTTTCATTTTATGATGGATAGCCACTCTTAAAAAGTGTTTAATAGCAAACATGCTTGAAGGAAAAAGTATGATGGTGGAACCAAGCATATGTGTTATGTGTGTGGTTTGTCCTATTCATGTATATTTTGTTACAGATGTGTAGTTGTAACAACATTAACAATGATTAAGGTGTGTTTCTTTAGTTTATTAAGTCATTTTCTAGTACTTTTATTGTAGTAGTTGTAGTAACTGTTGTTGTTTGGTGTTAAAGGTTGTGCATGTACTTTTTATTTTGAATGAAATAGTTGTAAGGGTTTGTTATGAAAGTATCACAGTGCATGTAGTTGAACAAATTAAAAGATATAAACTAAATTGAAGAACCCCAAATTAAACCTAAGAATCTTGTGTTTGCAATTATTACTTTGTATTTGCTTTAAATTAAATCTTTTATGAGAATTTGATTAGTTGTTGATATGGATTTAATATCGAAATTGGTGTGGCTTACAAGAAGTTTGATCATCTTACATCATCATATATGGTTTGATAATGTTAAACAAAACATATGAAAAACAAACTAAAATTGTAATTATGTTGATCTTCTTACATCATCTTTCAAAATCTTTTTTGGGAAAAACTATATTTTTTTAATATGAAGATCTTTTTTGTAAACAGGTTTGGACTAATATAATAGTGAATACTTGTCACTTCTTGTATATTCCCATGTACAAACCCTAATTGTACAAGGATTTCCATTCTCTTTTAATCAATATAATACATTACATTTTTAATGGGTTTATAGTTCTATACCCCACTCATTTTTTGTTATAACTACAAAATTCAGCCATTCAACCTTAATTGGTTCCATTGTTCTTTGTTGTATAACAAAGTAGAATTCTTCATTCCAAACCTGAGTTATTAGTTCCCTAACTATTTGTTGTACATCGCTATTCCTTGTTTCAAAATTAGATTGAAATTGTTGAAATATAGATCTTGTTTTTTTGCTAAATGGTTTGTTATCCTAATTTTCTGGTATGATTTTTTTTTGTTCATTTGTTAGTGAAACCCCATTATATTCATTTCACCTTATATAATATATGAATGGTTATTTTACCTTTTACACATGTTTGGTTTGATAGATGAACAATGAGTTGTTGTATGTAATCACTAGAGTTGTAGTGGCATTGAGTATTTTAGAAAAATGGATGAACTACATGGATAAGGAACCCTTTGTCGGTTGGGGTTATGAGGATATTGATGAAGGAGATAATGTTGGTGGCTCTACTATTTAAGCTAAGACACTAGAAGATGGTAGTTTTATTAGGGTTGCAAGGTATTAATGCTGGTGTCACAGGACTTCCAATTGTATGGCTAGGATTCTTAGATCATGGGAACATAGGGTGTTGTTGGACTAAAGGTAGAACATATTGAACATGCTATACACATGGAAAAAATTGAGTTGATAGAAGAGTGATTGTTGGAGGTTCTATAACAAGCAACTATGGTTTTTGTTGTCATCTCAAATTTTTAAAAGTGCATAGACAAGAAAAATAAAAGAGCAAGGTGCAAACCAGCTGGTTGGTAAGGTCTCTTCCTGGTCGTAGCGGAGACTTGGGATCTAATCCCGCTTGCACCTGGTTGGGGTGGAGCAAGGTTTAGTTGAACGCTTTAGTTGTTTAGTGGGTTGTGGAACCAATGATAAGGTTCCACGCCAATATTTAAATACATAGCCCCACATTGTTTACAATGGGGCCATGGATTTATTATTGGCGTGTAGGGCTGTTAGTTGGTCGGGGCCGACCCGATGGACCCAAACTGATTGGGCCGGTTTTGGTTCTAGGAACTAGAATCAACAGGTTGGTTCCAGGTCCTGATATAGGGTCCCGATTACTATCGGTTTGGAACTGGTTCCACCTAGTTCCGAACCAATTTAGACTCAACATATATATATATATATATATATATATATATATATATATATATATATATTATACATATAATATAGGGTAAATCTCTTAAACTACCCCTACTATTTGCAAAATTGACTAATTGTACCCTTACTATTTACATATTGTCTTAAACTACCCTTACTGTTTCTAAAAATTGATATCGTCGTAAAGTGCTAATGGAAAGAAACGAAATGTTGAATTTGCCCTCCACTATTCCTCAAATTTTAAAATAAAACCCAACTGGAAGAAACAAAGTGATGTTTCGGAAATGGATCAAATTGGTCTCCGTCTGAAATGCAAACCCAAAAACTAACTACCATTCTGTGTCCTCATCGACTGGTTTCAGAACCTGTTGCAAGGCAGACATGAGCGAGAGCTCCCCTGCAAGTACGGAGCCAGTTACAATGGTGGCCAAACAGTAGATACATCTAACGGTCATGCCTTGAAAAGACTAATCGAAAGCCTTCCGATCTGAATACTTTCTACATTTTATGTGAATTTGAGATCCTCTTTCTGCTTGCTTTTTTCTGTCTTTGGAGAATGGGGATTTACCAAGTGATGTGGGTGTTATCACTAGAGCTATTCAACAAATTTTGAACCTATGTAAAGCTCAAAATGCCGAGTATAGTATGAAGGTTACATTTCTATCTAAACAATGAGGAAATAATAGATCTTTTGGCTCCCAAAAAATGCACACAATTCATTAATGACAATCCCTTGTGAAAGATGGAAAAGGGGATGTTTTTGGAAAGAAAACAGAGCCTAGACATCTTCTTGCTTGTCTTGCTGCTGCAATAATGGGTTTGCTTCCAACTGATATCTTAGCATCTGGTTTGCCTCTAACTTCATGCTTGAGAGGATTTGATTGCTTCCAACTGATATCTTAAAAGGTCCAAGTCCTGGTGGTTGTTGTCGTTCAACCAGAATCATTTTTGTATTTTAGAGGATAATGGAGGATTTTGTTGCACCTAGCTGATATCTTACAAGGTCCAAGCCTTGGTGCTCAAACCCAAAACCATGGAAGCTTTAGCAGAGAAGATCTTACAGCAAAATTTGTAGACAAAAGAAAACTGAAATTTTCTGTTGTCGTTTTTGTGAGCAAACAAACAATCACCAGAGACTGTAATAGTCCTTCTCAAGTGGCTCATGGATCTCTGCAAATGTTTTGTGATTCATCTTTCGAATTGTACAGGTGAACAAGAAGATTCATCTTTTGAATTGTTATATGAGATCTCGGTGATTGTCACTCCTAGGGACAGTTCGGAATTGGAATCTGAAAGATGGCGAGAAGATTGTTCTGCAGAAAAAAAGAGAGATGGTCTTCTACAGTGGAGATATATTCTTATGAGATTACGGGCTTGGAAGCTCTTCGACCGGCAAGTCCTAGTGGTAGTGGAAGCGGTGGAGGCGAAGATTCCAATTCTACTTGAGAAGTGGATTCCATGTGGGAGAAATAAGGGTAATTGTGATGGTCGTCGGAAACTTGGGTGTCTTTGGCGTATCCGATCCTTATGCCAACTCTTTTCTTCTTTCGGGAAATCTGGCGAGAAACAGTTGGAATGGATGTTATTACAGTTGAAGAAGAAGAAGAAGAAGAAAGAAGGAAGAAATAGAGAGAGAGAGTGGGGGGCTCAGGACGAGGGTAATATTGGGTTTTGAAAAAAATTTATAGGTCACATGGGGTCACATGTGCGTAGATCGTGATGGAGCATTAACGGATGCTAACGGTAGGGGTATAGCTAGTCAATTGTTAGAAACAGTAGGAGTAGCGTTAGACAATATGTAAACAGTAAGGGTACACTTAGTCAATTTTGCAAACAATAGGGGTAGTTTAAGAGATTTACCCTATAATATATAATATAATATATAACATAATATATAGAACATTTAATATATATTAAACATAAATATTTATTTTTTATTTATTATAATCGGGTCTGTTGGGTTCGACCCGATTGTCCCAAGAATCGATCGGTTTACAGAACCCATTAGGTTTGGGTCCTCAACATTTCATGTTGGGTCAATTCCGATTCTAGTTGGTTCTAACCCAAACCCTACCCATTGGCAGCCCTATTGACGTGAAACCTCGTCATTGGTTCCATAGCTTGTTGAGCAACTAAAGTGTTCAGCTAATCTGAATTCATTGGGGGTAGGGGGTTATGGGTTGGGGGATGGGCTACCCCCATTGCGTAGAACTTCGAAAGAAATAAAAAAAAAGTTAGAGGTTTTAGGGAGAGAGATATTAAGCTTATTCATTTGCTCTGATGTTTGGCATATGAAAGTGCAACAATTACATTAAGGGATATATTGGTATTGGTGAACTTTTCTTTTCTTTGAGCTTGAATGCAGAGAATGTTATTCTGAATTTTGAAAATTATCAAATGTTCATTTTAACCCCATACATGAAAACTTTTATTTGCCTTTTGGGGGTATTATTAGAAAATAAAAAGTGTAAGATTCTTCTTAAGAAGAAAAAATGAATACCCATTTTCCTCTTATCTTAAATTTATAAGATTCCTCTCAAGGCAACGAAGAGGCCCATCCATTCCTCTTTTGAGTTGTTGGATGGATGACTGCCTCTCTTCTTCGGTTTGCATGCGGCATTCCAACGGAGAGGATGATGAATAATGCACCCTTGAAGCAAAGTTAAAGGGTGTTTTAGTAAATTTACTTTCTCCGAACAGGGCCAAAGGTGTTGGAATCTGAAAGTTAAGGGGTCTTTGTCGCGAATGAATGCTTGACGGTGGACCAAGTATCACTACCTCGAAAGTACAGGGTGATAATCTGTAAAATGATAATCCGAGATTCGAAGCATAGATTTATCTTTTTCGTGAAGTTTAAATTCAAGTTCTGGAACTTCCTTTCCCTCCCTCCTTTGCTCCTTGTCTGATATTGTTTCTTGGATGCAGCCAATGTGAGAGATTTTGTTTCTTTTTTTTTTCCCCTTTTCAGAACAAAATGGGAGTAAAAAACCTATGGGATATCTTGGAATCCTGCAAGAAGATTCTTCCTCTTCACCACCTCCAGTAATTTCTCTCAAGTCTAATACTCCGTTTTTTCTTTTGTTCCCAATATTACTACTTTTTTGAACAATTTCTCAATTACTAATTACTTGCTGTTTTTATTTTTTTCACGTTTTAATGGGAATAGGAACAAGAGGGTCTGCATTGATCTTTCATGCTGGATAGTTCAGCTTCATAACGTCTGCAAATCTCACTCCTGCATTAAGGATAAGGTTTATCTGAGCGCTCTATTCCATCGCCTTAAAGCCCTCATTGCCTTGAATTGTAGCCTTATATTTGTAACAGGTCATCCTCTCGTCTCTCTCTCGTTACTCATATCATATCATATTGTCTTTTGGTGTTGTAATTGTATATGGAGGATTAGTTCCAATTTATACTGTAGCTTGTTTATTTAGCTTCAAGGAAGTTTAGGTTAGGGGTTTGCGTTTTTTTTTTTTTTTTTTTCTTGAAATAGCCGGTTTGAGAGGTGAAAATGATGTTTCGTTCATATGATCTTGGTAATTCTTTGTATTTATTGCCGATGGGTACTTTTCTTTTTGTCATTATATTGCATGTAAAATATTGATTTCATAGTTCCGCATACTTTACCTTATTGAAATGCAGCCCTTGCTCCATAAGCCTATGCCATTTTTTTTGGTGATGAACTCTAATTTCTAAATAAGAAACAGAAGATTAAAATAAGACAGTTGTGATGTTTTGAAGTCTTTTATAAAATTTGTTCATCTAAATATGTGAACTATAGGATTTTGAAATTTTTGGTGGTCTTTTCAGCGTCATTTTTCTAGGTGGTTTGAGGAAATTCGGTCAAAATTTCTTTTTAGAATACCCATGGCTGTATCCATAGATGGTGCTAATTATGTTGAAAAATCAGGTCTTTTCACATTGGTGGACCTATGGATAGGAAAATAAAGGTTCCTGATCATCATCATCATCATCATAATCCAAGCCTTGTACCAAGTGCCAACTATGTGGGGGTTGGCTATGTGAATCCTGTTTTGCCATTCCCTTCTGTTTAGTGTCATATCCATTGTTAAATTATGAGTGCATAAATCATTTCTTACTACTCTGAGCCAAGTCCCTTTTGGTCTACCCCTAGCCCTTCTATCCTCTTCAACTTGCAACAGATCACTTCTTGCGGGTGCATACTAACGTGCTGATATGGCATAAAATTCATTAATGGGATTAGATGTGGATATGCTATTTTCTACTCAATGAATGAGAACTGGGTTGACAATAACAAAATAAGCAAAAGGGGTTATATTTGTTTAAAGTTTGTCCTGATATTGGTTAGTCATAGATGACACCACTTTTGTTTTTGAGTCTTTTCACTAGTTAAATTGGTAGTAGGATGATTTTCACTAGTTATATTGGTAGTAGGATGATTTTCATATGTTCTTGTGGTCTTTGTTTTAAGTAGTCCTGCATTATGCTAGTAGTTGGAATATTTTAAATATTCCCTATGATATTTCTTTTGTTCAAGGTGTTTTTTATTTCCTTTTGACTCTATGTTTTAATTAGTAAATCCTCCCTTTTATGTTTTCAATTAGATGGAGAGATATTAAGGTGTGAGTGACCTTTGTTATTTGATAGATGGATCAATTCCTGCCATCAAAATGTCTACTTACAGACGGCGTTTGGGGTCAGAAAATGAGGTAAAACTTTCTCTGTAGTCTTCCTGTCCTTGCTGTTTGTTTTTTTTTTTTGATCAATTTCCGTTCTTGCTGTTTCTCCTTCCCTATTTCTTTTTCTGCTAACATTGTTACATGATTAAGACAGGCTACTCGAGATGAGATGAACTTACAGAAGGTTTCTTCACTTCCTCGAAATATGGGATCTGAGTTTTCTTGTATGATAAAGGAGGCAAAGGTCCTTGGCATGGCACTTGGAATCCCATGCTTAGATGGGTAAGTGATGCAGGAGCTTTAGAGTCAAGATTGTAATTTTATGTATTTCTGTATTTTTGGACAGTAGGGGTATTTTTGTCATTTTACAAATTTCTGTGGGGTCCAATGATAGGATTTAATTTGTCTAGTTATAGTTTGTTGATGTTTAAAATTTCAGAGTCATTGAATAAGTAGGATTAGAGTTATTGAGCCTTTTTGAATTGACATAGGATATGACAGTTTAGTTCAAGTCCTACTAGGATGATTATGAATCTAACAGTTTGACTTCTAGTATTATTATGGTAAGTGATCCCCATACCCTAGAGATTCTAGGTACCCTGTGAGTGATTCTGGGTAGTCTGTCTCTTCTTTTTCTCTTTCTATTTCCTTCTTATTCCTTCAAGAAGCCATTGCAGCCATCAACAGCCATAAATATCTGATCTAGGAAAATCCTTCAACATTCTCTAAGGACTGGAATTTAGTTGGTCCTACATTAGTTTGGTATCAAAGCTAATGGTTATTCACTATTTTATCACTAAGTGACCGGTTCTATAGGCCTAGGGTAATTTCTAAACAATATCACAGATCTAGAATCCATGATAATTGAGTTTTTGAACCATATGAAGGGTCTTTGGTTGACTTGTTTGAGAAGATGGAGGAAAATAGATCTAATAATGATGACTATAGGAGTAAGGCTTTTAAGAATGTTAGTGGAGAAAAGGAAATACCCAGATTTCAGAGGAGATGATGACCCAGAAGTATTCTTTGATTGGATTGCTGAACTAGAAGAGTATTTTGATTGGCATGATATGTATGATAAATGAAGGATTAGATTTGCATGCATAAAGCTCATAGGTCATGCTAAAGTATGGTGGAGAATTCTTTAGCAATGCATAATAAATAGAGGTGATGATCCTATTGCTACATAGGCAAAGATGAAGAGGTGTTTGCAAGAAAAGTATGCTCCATTAGACTTCCATGATGATCTATATATGGAGTTCATTAATCTTAAGCGGGTATACTATCCATAGTTCGACATGTGCATAAGTTTGATGAATTATCTATTAGATGTGACACCACAAAAAATGAAATGCACAAATTAGCTCATTTGAAGAATGGACTACAGTTCAGATTTATGACTTAAAGCATGCTTTTGAATTGGCTTTCAATGTAGAGAAGCAACAAATTACAACAAAGAATTTAAAGCCAATGGGCAGAAGGTATGAAGTTGAAGATAAAGTAGACGATTTCTTGCATGTTGATGATTTAAGTGTTCAAGAAGCTGATGTTATTGGTGATTTAACAAAGATGGTTATGAAAGGAAATGTTTTAGAAATACATTTCTTTCCAGATCCTTTTCAAGTTATGCATGTGGCATCTATTGTACAGTCCAAGCATGTAGCTGTGTGAAGTTCAACTTTTGTCGCTGGGGCATATCAACTTTTCATCCTCAAGTTCTTCAAAACTTGAGGACAAGTTTTTTTGAACTAGGGGAGAATGATGCAGGAGCTGAAGAGTCAAAATTGGAATTTTATGAAATTTTATGTATTTCTGTATTTTTGGACAGTAGGGTGTTTTTGTCATTTTGCAATTTTCTGTGGAGTCCAATTATAGGGTTTAATTTGTCTAGTTATAGTTTGTTTATGTTTAATTTTAGAGTCATTGAATAAGTAGGGTTAGAGTTATTGAGTCTTCTTTGAATTGAAATAGGATATGACAGTTTAGTTGAGTCCTGCTAGGATTATTATGAATCTGACAGTTTGGCTCCTAGGATTATCATGAGTTTAGAGTCTATAAATATGTATGACGTTTTACAAAAAATCAATGAAATTTGAGTTTTTGTTATGCTAGTTATGGTGAGTGATTCCTATACTCTAGAGTGATTCTAGGTACCCCGTGAGTGATTCTGGGTATTCTGTCTCTTCTTTCTCTTTCTATTTCCTTATTCGTTCAAGAAGTAATTCAGCCATGAACAGCCTTAAATTTCTGATCTAAGAAGACCATTCAGCATTCTTTAAGGACTGGAGTTTAGTTGGTCCTACATCAGTAAGTTTGACTACAGTGGTAGATTTCTTTTGCTGTTTGCTATAGAGCACATTTAGTTTACAGAGAAAATGATTGAAGTAAAGTTGATACACTCTTAAAAGCTAGATCCTCTTTCATTGTTTACTACATTAACTTTTTATGTCATTGTAACTTGGTCAGTTGATGGATTTAGCATGATTTAAGGGCTTTGTTGCTTAGAATGACTTGAAACTTTGATGCCATGAAAAATTAGTTTGATAAGATTTGTCCAATTTGACAAAAAAAAAATAAAGAAAAAAAATAAAACAACAATCCAAGTGAAAGTATATGTATCAGTGAAATAGATAAAAGCCTTTAAGTTTTCTAAAGAAGCTACTCTTGATTATTTCTGAGTTCTTAGTAGTATTGTACTATTGTCTTGCCAAATTTGCAGAAAGTTCTATGTATGAATGAATGAATGGATGTATGTATGTATATATGTATGTATGAATGTATGCATGCATGCGTACATGCATGCATGTATTTATGAGAAGGTAGGCAATCCAGATTATTGACATAATACTATAATAGTGAACACTCCTTTTCTTCTCCTTTTTTTTGTTGAAAAAAACTTTTTCTTTAACTAGGCTTGAGGAAGCTGAAGCACAGTGTGCCTTACTGGACGCAGAATCATTATGTGTGAGTAGAAACTGTTTTTCTTGAATTCTATTTGGATTTTCTGATACCCACCACTGAGAGAATCATAATGTGCTATACCATCATTTCCAGGATGGATGTTTCAGCACAGATTCAGATATCTTCCTCTTTGGTGCGAGGACAGTTTACAGAGATATCTGCCTAGGTGAGTTGATCCATTCTGAAGTTCTCTAATTTCTTGACTTTCTATTCTGTACCAAATTCTAAGTGTATCTTTGGATATTTTTAACTCAATTATCTTATGTTCTGTTGAAAACTCTTTGCTTGTGAATTAGGGGAAGGTGGTTATGTTGTTTGTTATGAAATGGTGGACATAGAAAGAAAACTTGGATTTGGAAGAAACTCATTGGTAAGTTTCTCTTTTGTTCTTAACACTATTTGTTGATGGAGAAACATGTTGCTTTTTCTATTTTGCTTTTAATTTTCTCTCGGTTCTTTTGTGCATTTGTGTTTCCTTCTAATTTATCAATATTTTGAACACAAAGTTGGTTTTGGTCAAAACTTCCCAGCAATTGGTAGTTGCTTTATCTAACAAACAACGGTGTTCTGATTTCCAAAATAATGTCTCCTTAATATTCGTTCCTTTGTAAGATGAGTTTTGACAGAATCTCAGGATACTGAAAATAAATCTTGATTGTTGAATTCTAGTTTTTGTTATTCTTTGAAGGCAGGCCTATTTCTAGTTTTATTATTGAAACATAAACTGCAGATTTGTACAAAAATTGTATGATTTTTTAGTTTTCAACTTATACAATATATGGTACTACCACAAGTATTAGTCATGGTTCCTGAACAGAACTCCCATGAGACTATCTCATATTCTGAGCTTTATGGACGTTTAATGTTACTAGAACTGGGTTTCTTTTTAGCTTAACAACTTTGATGTCTTTCAATTCTCAGATTACACTGGCCCTTCTTCTTGGAAGTGACTATTCTCAGGGAGTTCATGGGTTTGGCCGTGTAAGCTCTTACTTATTATTGTTATTTAATTTTTGGAGGCTAAATGGTAAAACATGTACAAAGGCTATTTGCCCCAATTTTGCAGAAAGAATGGATTCTTAACTTTTTTTGTTTTGTTTAATTTTCCAGTCTGATTCATCTCATATGTATTAGAAGCTTTATGTTCATCATGAAATGTAGTGGGTGTATCAAGTTGGATACCTTTGCCCTCTTTCTTTCTCACACATTTTGCATTTGAATTGAATATAGGAGACAGCATGCCAGATTGTTAAATCAGTTGGGGATGATAGTGTTCTTCAGCGTATTGCATCAGAGGGATTGGCATTTGCAAAGAAGATGAGAGGGCCAAAGAAACAGAGTCAAGCTTTAAAATGCAACACGAATCAAGAGAATGATTTGGTTCATAATGTGAATATTGGTAGTAACTATACATACCTTCCATTAGTGATTCTTGTTGGATCAGAACCATGTTTGGTTCCTTTTATCAGTATCAATGTGTTTTAGTCAGGAACCCTGTTGGATTGAGGAAATGACTTGGTTTGTGTTAGGATTGAACCATTGAATATTCAAAAACTTGAAAAGATCAGGTACTTGATAAACTGTATCTACCCAGTACTCGAACACAGAAAGGCCAGTTGAGTAGCTGACTGAATCTAGGAAGTCTCATTGAACCTAGGTATAGTCTTGTACTGTGTTACCTGGATATGGAATGAGTAGAAGATCAAGACTGTAATCAGTCTTGAATCCTAATAGGTTTTAGGTTTGCAAAACAGAAGAAAAGTGAGAGAAAGGAGAGAGAATAGAAGAGAAACAAGAGAACACAAGTTGTTGAAAGGA